ATGAGTCAGCATTGACTCTATGGCAGTGAGTTTGGTTTTTGGCTTTTTTTGTTTCTTCTTAAAGGAAGAAGAAGAAAATTGAAGTATTTAAATATTACTTTCTTTCCATATCCTTTTCTCTTCATGCCAGAGTATCAACATGTAAACTCTCTGCGGAAGGGGGACAGGGAAAAGCAAAGCTCCTGAATGATCACAAATAAATCATTTCCCCTTAAGTGGGAGAATGTCTCATAGTTACTCTGTGATTGCTTCAGTTAAAGTTGATAATATGGTATCCAAAGGTATATTTACACTCATAATTTTTATCTTAAGTATCTTAGGAAGAAAGTAGTGTTTTTGTTCACAGTTTAGGAAAAATATAAATTAGCTAGTTAGTACAAAAGCTGGCTCATTTGTAAAAGGAATCCAATTTCCAGCACATAAAGGATTATTGTGAGAATAAAAGGTCTTAATTTAAAGAATTAAATGTAGGATTTTGCAAATCCTTTCCCTTGTAAATTTTGACATTTTCTTTTCATGGGTTTATAATGTGTTCTTTTTTCCTAGCCACACTTTTCCTCCAAACTAGTTACTACTCTGTCCATTTTTGCCATCTTTCTAGATTTGTTAACAGAGTTATATATAAAAGTAAGTAACTTAAGTGTCTTCTCCGGCTTTGTTTACTGGGCACTCTTCTTTCATCAGCATCATCTTCATAGTTACTTTCATTTTTAAATATGCACATATGCTGAGCATCATGTTAAGTGCCCTGTATATGCAATTTTTAATTCTCACAGTAATCTTACTAATGTAGGGAAATTGTCTTCCTTTTACAAATGAGAATACTGGAGCTGGGGGTGGGTGGGGAAGGACTTTATCTCAGCTAGTCACTTTTTTTCCATATACTCTGATACCTCCCTTCCTGTAGTCCACCCTTTTCTCCCTAATCAATGTGATTATAAAATAATGGAAATTCTGAATAGTCTCCCCTCACTCTTCCAAAACAGAACAAAACCTTTTAGATCTGTGGAACATTACAAATATGTGCCAGATCTTGAGATCATACACTATTGAAGTCACTTCTGAAAAATTAGTAACTATTCATGTTGGAAAGTATATTTTTATTTATATATATTTTAACAGATAATTTTTAAAAGTTAAAATTTTATAATATGAATGTGATTTATAAATGTGATCAGTTATATAAGGAAGTATTGCTTATGCATCCTTTGTAAATTATTCTATTCTGTTCTTACATAATTTTCTATGCTGCAGTAGTATTTTTTCCAATAGTATTTAATAGTAATTTATGACCGAGTGAGGCTAAGTGAGAAACTTTTATCTTAAGTTCTTTGGTAGTTGACCTCAATAGCATAAATTTCTGACTCCTCCTCAAACCCCGATCTGTTTCCTAGTTCTTCATATGTAGAGCTGTGGGTCTTTGGTTCTTTTATTTCTAACCTATGGATTTTTAGAAGCACAAATAGTCTGTTAACTGAACTTTTTGTTTCTTGCCTTCATTACATTCATGTCATTGACCTTTGCTTCAAAAGCATTTGGCAGTCCTTAATAGAGAGAGAGCTGAAAGGGGGTGTTGTAAAGACTTTATTCTGTAACAGAAGTCACACAGGCAAATCTTTATGTTTGCTGAGTGATTTAATTCTTGAACATGCAGAACTTGGCCGGGGGCCATGAGTAACATGGTAGAAAGCACTAGAAAGCCTTATAACCAAACTTCCCCACATCATTCTGTATTCTTTTTTTTTAAGAGAAAAATTCATCCTTTCCTGTTATTTTAAAAATCTACTCAGGAAAAAGTGGTCTGGTATCTACAGTAGTTAACAACTTTATCATGACTTTTAAAACTACCTGTGGTTTTTGTTTTTTGTTTTTTTAATCTGCAATTAAGGAACGACTTCATCAGAGATAAAAATGTCCGCTTAAATAAGTTCCAGAGCAGAATTTGGAGAGGAAAGCCCAGTGACAGTAATAACATCTACTTTGTGAACACTGGCTCTATGAGAACACTGGTTTGGAGATATTAAGTGGTGATTGTGTATTCTATAGAAATACTTTTGCTTGTTGATGGTGGCTTGGCTAAACAGGTTTTAGAAGTAATCAGGAAATCTAGTGTCTATAGAGGAATGAAGAGCAAGATTTTTAAAACATTAGAAATTGATTAGTAAAATATTACTAATTTGAAGGTATATTACATATTTGAAGGTATATTAGTATCATTTGTACTTTTCTGGTAGCATAAACCCAAACCTATTCCAACTCATGGTGACCTATAAGACTGGGAAGAACTGCCCCGGTGGGGTTCTGAGACTGTAAGTAATTCTTTCTGGAAGAGGAAGCCTCATCTTTCTCTTGAGGAGTGGCTGGTGGTTTTGAACTGCTGTTAGCAGCCCAACGAATAACTAACCCATTTCACCATGAGGGTTCCCTATAAGGACTCATTGTTAGGATCGAATCTTTAACAATAAATAAATTGTAAGGCATTTCTACTTTAAATTGTTTCTAACCAAAATCTGCTAAGAATGAAGTCTAAAATGTTGAGGTCTAGAATGAACATATAATTATGGAAACAAGGGAAAATACTTGAACTGTTCTAAGTACTCGAGTGATTAGTCTTGCCTTTCATCTTCTGTTATCCCTTCTTGTACTTAACTTTAAAATATAGTTTGTGTATTTATTACCCATTTATTACAGTGAACCAGACATTCTACTAGTTTCAGAAACTACCAGGATGGCTAAAATATGTCCCTGGACTCAGAAAAGTTCCTCGGCCTGCTGTATGACATGAGCACTGGTAGTTATAGTACACTATCCCTGTGCTTGGGCTACGTCTTAAGAATAACAAGAAAATTCCGCAATGTGGGCTTAACCACGTGTCTCATTGTCTGCATAGAGAAATAAGACTTACAGATATGAAAGAATAGAGAACAGACCATAATTAAGATAAAAATGTGTAGATAGTATAGAAATGTGACATCAGGAAACCAGAAGGTCACTGTCCACCAGTATGGGAAAAATAGTAGAGATGATACTTGAAAGCAGGAACATTATTTCCAAGGCGACAGGAGGAAAGACATTCTATTTCGAATTCTATTTATTGTGAAAGCTTACAGAGTACATTAAGTACATTCGTTTCCTATCCAACAAGCTCAACACATTTGGTTTCGTGACATCAGTTGCAATCCTCAAGTGTAGTAGCACTTTCTCTACGTGGCTCTGGGTTCCCTGTTTCCACTGGTTTTTCGTACCTTTTGGACTTTGTTTTTGAGAAGATGTCCTTTGGGTCTCTTCTGGTGGTTGATTGTTCTGAGGAGCACTTTCCTCTCGGGTGTTACTGTTCACTTTATAGGCCTGTCTGTTGTTTGGCTTGAAGATGATCCTAGAGGTAGGTGGGTTCAGTTCCAAGTTTGAAGGGTGGCTAAAGGGCACGATGTGATGGGTTCCACCAGTCTCTATCAGACCAGAAAGTCTGATTGTTTTTATGATTTTGAATTTTATTCTGCAGTTTCCTTCTACTCTTTCAGGACCTTCTATTGCAATCTCAATCCGAGCAGGCAATAGCGGTAGACAGACACCATCTGATTCTTCTGCATATAAGCGAGTGGGCACTATTTGTGTGATCCATTAATCCTTTGTACTAATTGCCACCTTAAGCCTTTGGTTTTCCTCACTCTTCTTTGCTCTGCACAGGTTGAGACCAATTGTTGCATCTTAGATACCACCATCTTTAATACCAGCATTAAAGACCCCAATCACTACTCAAAAGTAGGACATAGAGCATTGTCTTTATGGACCTAGTTGTCTCCTGACTACTCTGATCCTAAGCCCCCAAGCCCAGCAACTCAAATGAGAGGAAAATATTCTAAGAGAAATGATTGTAAAAATATTGAAAAATATTCTAATAGAAATGGTTGTTGAAGTAACGATATCAAGAGACCAGAATTTGGCAGAAATTGGGGTTATATTGGATATGACTTAGTGACAAAAGAGAGAAGGAAAAGAATGGAAAATGATACTAATTTCAATAATTGAAGAGAATTTGTATTATAGATATAATGTATATAAGAAAACAGATTAATAGGAAGAGATGGGATACTAAATAAAATAATTTTCTTATTCTAAGTTTCTTTTTAGGTTAACAGTCTTGAATTTTAAGGTGGATTTAATTCAGAAAGATCTAGAGCAGTGGTTCTCAACCTTCCTAATGCCACAACCCTTTAATACAGTTCCTCATGTTGTGGTGACCCCAAACCATAAAATTATTTTTGTTGCTACTTCATAACTGTAATTTTGCTGCTGTTATGAATCAGGCCACCCCTGTGAAAGGGTTGTTCGACCCCCAAAGGGGTCGTGATATACAAGTTGAGAATCACTGATCTAGAGGTTCTCACTATAGTTATATTTACTTAGTTATAAATTCAAACTTTATTACCAGAAATATGATAGCAATACAATCTGTAGACAAAGGAGTTCCCAGGATACAAAGGAGTGTATTAACTTTTCAGCATCTAAACAGATACTAAATGGATCTACATTCATTAAGATCTTGATCCTCATATTCTTCAGGCAGAAGTTAGGTTGGGTGAAGGGGTAAGTGATGTTTCTTCTTTTCTTCAGATTGGACAAGGTGGATGACAGTGAAACGGTGGGTAAAAACTGGAATGAGAAATGGCAGTGGTACCAGTTTATACCGTAGTGCTTGTTAAACAAAGAATTCTAAGTATTGGGGACCTTCTCTCCATAACATCTTTATAATTTATCTTAAACTACCTAGTTGCAGATTATTAAGCAGTCACAAATTACTAGTATTAGTACCATGTTGACTGAATTTATATAGCTGTGTTACTTTTTAGTTTCTATTTCAGTATGAATAATACTCTTAATTCTTTTAATAACTATTCTTTTAATAACCATTTGCTGCATTAAGATCATCTATGATGGAATTTTAGGCAATACAACTTTCAAATGGATTTACCTTTGTTCGCCTTTGCTTTTATTTACAGTTCTGGGAAATGCCAGTGCAAAATAGGTATCATCGGCTCTACCTGCAATCAATGCCAGGATGGGTATTATGGCTTCAGTAAGAATGGCTGCTTGCCCTGCAGATGCAGTAATCGTTCTGCCAGCTGTGATGCCCTTACAGGTACCCATTTTGAAATGCAATTAGTCTCTTTTTCTCGTTATTTTGAATTTCTTCAGGTACAAGTTGATTATTCTAAAATAGTTAGGGTCTTTCTCTTTTACATCTTTTAAGTAAGATGTCACTGGTCACACAAAAAAGAAAAAGGGTAAAAATAAGATGTCATTGTTTACAGCAAGCCAAACTCCTGTGATAACTCTGGGGAGAAAACCACAAACAAACACAAGTTTAAAAGTCATATTTTTGGAGAGTTTTGGAAGAAATTAGAACTTGATGGACTAAAACTACAGAAAGGGTAGATCTCTTTCTAGGGGAGCCATTTTCTTGCTGGGGGATATTTGCGAATTCTGGACACAGATTGAGAAGCATATTTGGTTCATCCAAAGGAAGTTTACTAGGAAAGAGATACAAGAAGATGCTAGAACAGTTGTTTGAGGCTTGCCTGATAGGCTGGAAATGAGGAGATTCAAGCCCAGGCCAGTTTTACCACAGGTTGTTAGCTGACGGTATAGGAAGTTAATGGACTATGCCAAATAGGTAGGGAGAAATCTTTCAGTCTTCTGGTATTTAAGAGACAAAATGCCTTTGGAGAGATAGGACCTGCAACATACAACTATCTCTATCTCATTGCCAAATTCTGCAGGTCTATAGCATGAGACAC